AAATAACATTTGCCCTACAGATCGCCAATATTCCCTTTTTTTTACTGCTGACGCGATGTGCATGCATGCGGAAGGGCGCGGAGTCATGGATCACAGCAAAATGACTGCCGAGCTTACGCTACATCGGTGTATTGGCAAACTATAAGCTAATGGAATCTGAGCCAAACTTAGTTGTGGTGGTGCGTGTGTATGGAATAGGTAATGTTGAAGGTGTAATAACTAAGCTCATGAATGATTTAGGAGATGGATGATTAGATTGTGACCATCGAGATACTGGATTGTGCTCAAATGTGTAGAGCCGAAACTTGGCACCCAGAGGATCACGATCAGTATAACTATGCTATCCCGGCTCCATATCGGGCCGTTGGTCAGGTGGCATTGGGCAGATGAGTTGATAGTAAGCTCAACAGAGACATTGATCAAGGATGGGCATTATCAAGGAGCTCGATGTTGATAACAAACTAGGTTTGCAAGTAGTCCTAAAGTATGGATAAAGCACGCCCAATCTCTCTATTTATCAGGTAAATCATCTTGTAAGTGACCTAGAATATCGTAGCCAAGCGGCAGGCCTTCCATGCGTAATGCGCTGTCTGGAAGACATATAATAAATGAAAATCTGACATTCTGACTGGTCCTACGTATAGAAAGGGCCGCATGGAGGACCGTACTAGTTCCAAGATCAAAGCTGCAGACTGTTACTTTGCTAGTCCGTGTCCGCAGCTTGAATGCATATAAAGTGGCCTCCCTCTGAAGCCTAGAGAGCAACTCTTCTTACCTCAAATTGTTTATTAGCCACTATTATCATGCAACTGCAAGTAACTCTTCTTACTACTTTGCTCGCTTAGGCTCTAGTAGTGTCTGGACAGCTCTATTATACGCCTAGGCTTTGTACCACACAGCGCCTAGTACTAAATCCAAAAGAAGATCCTAATACATCATGTCCTGTAAGTTACACTAATTTAGTTCTCTATAACACTTATAAAGGCACTAATTTTAAGCAGGATGGCCACGTTTATAGATGTGTACGTTAAGTAACCATAAGTTGCCTACTAGAGAGAGATCTAAACTCGAGTGTAGTGTATTTCAGATGGAGTGAATCGTGCTGGGTTTAATCAGCCTAAATCCTGCACCTTACCTAACATTGATACTGGAGGTGTTGCAATACAACCTTGCAATAATCTAGATTTTGCGGTACGTTCTTGTCTGCCAAGTGCCTTGACGTATTTTAACTGTGTACTAACACACACCCCTTTAGGCACCCACTTGTGTAAAAATCTTCTCTCTAAATGCCCGTATATTCTACTAACTCATGACAGTGCACAACTTAGGGTGCTGGATAACGTAGCAGAGGGAAAGGTGACGAAGGAGCTGAACGAGATTCAGGCTCGTGGTGGGCCAGCAGAGATGGAAGGTATACGGAGGATAGCAGAGAGACTTTCAGACATGATTAACTTAACTCAATTCACTCCCTTAGTACTACATCTTGCACACCTTGCTTTGGACATGACGAATGCTCTGCCACACGGGAACGACAGGGCAAAAAAGCAACTAAGGTGTCTTTTGACTAATATACCTACTGGACCTCTAAGCAACACTACTGCGCGTTCGCATTTGCAAACATCATTGGCTTCGGTTGGGCTTGCCAGTGACATAGATACGGCAACATCTTCGCTTCGGTTGGGCTTGCTAGTGACATAGATACGGCAACATCTTCGCTTCGGTTGGGCTTGCTAGTGACATATGGGCAACATCATTTGCTGGTGGCTGACGGATATACATTGAGGCGTTTCAGCCTAAGCCATGCGGGCAGACAATGGTTCATGGCTGCACGCATCTTGATGCCGCGCTATTGTGCATCGCAACGAACTCGTATTTGTCCTTGATAGGGAGGAAATGAGATGTGAGACAGCGCGGGCAATGGTGACTTGATGGACTCGGAGGAGAGGTCGAGTACCTACGGAGGGCGGGGTGGGTTTGGATGGATAAGCGGCTGTACACGGACGGATTGGGGAAATGGGCGGGTGTCGCACAGATGCGGTCGGAACGGTATTGAGTGAACTTGTGTTCATGCAGTTGGTACAATGGCGTCAGGCGAACCCAGCTGCTTGGTGACCGTTTGCTGCTCTTTCCCGAGGACCCAACATGGGCAATGGACGATGGGTAGGTACCGGCCCATCTCGACGCGTCTGAAGTGTCGCCATGGAGATTTGATATGTAATTGTACCTGCATAGCGTTTGTTGTGGTTGAGTTGGGCTCAAATGAAAGGGTTCCCTGGTCTGCCCCTGCAGCTGGCAGCCAGTTGACCATAAGGCTATTCAAGCGCGATGGCCCAGACGCCATGTAATTTAGCCGTCTTACCGAACGTTCTATATATCTAGCTCGCGGTTGCTGATGTTCATAGTGCGGCACGTTGATGCTGACGAGGTACCTACCACAGTAGAGTGTTTGATTTGGCCTTTACTGGGAGTCCAGCCATTTAGGGATCGGCCTTGTCACTCCTCACACGGGACCATGTCCATATGTGCAATTCGTTGCTGGCAGATTGCACTGGAGGGGACTGCCGGTGGGCTGGAATGCGGGACGGCCTAACGGATGCCTGCAAAGGGTGTGTCGTCCAGTATCCAATGGGCCGTGAATGCGCAGCGTATCACCTGATGCTTGTCATGGTGACTGAGAACATCGGCGAGTGTCTTCGAGTTGCATGCCAGGAGAAGTGGAGTTGAATCTCCAGGCGGCGCATTGGGGGCCCGATTTCGCGCAAATGTCTCGTTGACGACTTCCGCAAGCTGGCTGGCGACGGGCTCCAAGTCGATGCCCACCCAGCCAGGTCGAACAGGAGGTCTATCGCCCGATGCATATAAATTGACCGTGCTTGCATGCTTCCAGAAGACCACGTGAAAGACGAACGAATGACAAGCGCCACCACCAGCCGGGCTCGAGTCCGAGGCAGCCATCGTTTCGGCACAGGCAGCAAAAACCGTTATCTACCCCGGTTCGCAAAGGGCAGGTTGTGGAGGACGGCCTGCAGCTTGGGGCTTGGGATCCAGACAGTGACAGTTTGCCGAGCCGTGTTTGCAGGTGAAATACGGCCGGTGAATGGGGCCGCGAGGGAAAATGGACGAGATGGACGAGTGAGCCGATGAGAGTTAGTTGGACTGGGCAGCTGGGAGTGGCTCTGCCCAGTCCCTACCGTACGGTACCTACACACACAACTAGGTACAATGAAATGCAAGCCACCGTTGCCATCTATCTTGCGATGCCCGTTGCCCATCAAAGGAGGGGAGGGGGTGGTGGCCTGGGTGAAGCAGAAAGGGTCACATGGGCGTTTGAGTCACATGACAGATGTGCGCGACATTGGAATGGCCATGCAACACAAGGAAGACATGGATGGGTAGATTTTGGAGGTGTAGGGCATAGTATGCATGCGGGAGATTTGTTGCTACAAGGCTCAAGGCTCAAGGCTCAAGGCTCAAGGCCCAAGGCTCAAGCCAGTCAAGGGAATCCAATGGAATCCAATCATCATGCATTGATGGGCAATGGATGTGTGTGCCGCTGTGCTGCGATAAAGATACGCCCCGGCTAGGCCTGATATTGTCATCACCCCCCGGCGCGTACACTTTGTCGTTAGCAGACAGTAGAGTACGCCAGGTAGCTTGTTCTGTTCCCTTGAATTTCTTCCCCCTACTAGCCCTACCGGTACTTGAACACTCACACTACACACACACACACGCACACACACACACACACACACACGCACACACACACACACACACGCACACACACACACACACACGCACACACACACACACACACGCACACACACACACACACACATGCCCCATCCCTACACCCACTGTACACCCACTGTCCTACCCAGTCTGCTAGCCTGCGACCATTAACCCGACTGTCTGGGCCCGTCTTTTGACCCTGCCCTGCCCTGACGCCTTTTCCGGTACTCGGTTGAGCTCGCGCTCAAGAACCGCCCAAGCCCAACCACGCCAGAATTCCTCGTCGTCGCCACTCACCACTCCATACCTACTCATACTTCATCAGCAGCAACCTTTGACCAAAGGCCCTTCCCCCACAAAGCGAACAGCAGACCCGCTCACGGCTGCACAGCCGACCGAAAACCCCGCAGATCCACTGCATTAACTTTCATTCTTCTTTCTTTACTCTTCTCGTCCACTGCCGACTTGCGCCTTTAACTAGCAAAGACTGCGCCCGCCGTGCGCTCGGAACCATGACCATCGACGACGACATGTACGGTACCGAAAAGAGCTTTGGGAGACAGTCGCAAAATTCCGACTACTGTGGCGAGTCCTCTCGCTTCCACGAGGGCATTGGGAGACGGGTCATGGAGAGTTTCAAGCGGGATCCGAATTTTGCCATGACGCCCAAGGGCAGCATGGGAGCCGATGGCAAGGTCTACGACGTCGAAGGTGCAGCAGCCAACACAGCAAACTCGCCTCTGGCAAGAAGACTCAAAGGTCGCCATCTGCAGATGATTGCCATTGGAGGCTCCATTGGTACGTCACCCTCACCCACACCCTCAAACCCCCCACATGGCCTTTGCTTTGGCCCCAGTCTATCCCCCCACCCCGTGATCTACAGTGATTGATGGCTGCTCGCAGGTACGGGCCTCTTCGTCGGCTCAGGACAAGCACTGGCAAATGGAGGCCCAGCGTCGCTAGTCGTCGCCTACTGCCTCGTTGGTCTCATGCTGTACTGCACAGTGCACGCGCTCGGAGAGATGGCGGTGCTTTTCCCCGTCGCCGGCTCCTTTTCGGCATATTCCACTCGCTTTCTCGACCCAGCGTGGGGTTTCGCCATGGGTTGGAATTATGCTCTGCAATGGCTAGTCGTGCTGCCATTGGAGATCGTCGCTGCCACCTTCACTATCGAATTTTGGAATCATGGATCGGTCAACAACAACGCTTGGGTTGCCATCTTCTTGATATTGATTGTCATTATCAACCTGTTTGGGTAAAGTAGACCTCGTGCCCGTTTCCTAATCCAACCGACTAACGACATGCAGTGTCAAGGGATACGGCGAGGCTGAATTCGTCTTCTCCATCATCAAAATCACTGCAGTCATTGGCTTCATTATCCTCGGCATCATCATCAATATTGGTGGTGGCCCCCAGGGCGGCTACATTGGCGGGAGGTTTTGGCGAGACCCTGGTGCCTTCAACAATGGCTTTAAGGGCCTATGCAGTGTCTTTGTCAATGCCGCCTTTGCTTTCTCCGGAACTGAGCTCGTCGGACTGGCGGCTGCAGAGACAGCCAATCCCCGCAAATCCCTACCCACGGCCGTCAAGCAAGTGTTTTGGCGCATCTCGCTCTTCTACATTGTCTCTTTGACCATCGTAGGCGTCCTGGTTCCCTATGACGATCCCAGACTCCTACAGGATAGCAACACTGCCGACGTCGTCGCCTCCCCATTCGTCATCGCCATCAAGAATGCTGGGATCGAGGGTCTTCCATCCGTCTTCAATGCCGTCATCATGATTGCCGTCCTCTCCGTCGGCAACTCCTCCATCTACGGCTCCTCCCGTACCCTCGCCGCGCTGGCAGAACAACACCAAGCCCCTCGCATCTTCGCCTACATTGATCGCCAGGGCCGTCCCCTCGTCTCCATCGCCTTTGCCTCCTCCCTCGGCCTCCTCGCCTTCCTCGCCGGCGCAAGACGTGAGCTCCAAGACCAAGCCTTCAACTGGCTCCTCGCCCTCTCCGCCCTGTCCGCAATCTTCACCTGGCTCTCCATCTGCCTCGCACACATTCGCTTCCGCCAGGGCTGGAAAGTCCAAGGCCACAGCCTCGACGAACTGGCTTTTCGCTCCCAGCCAGGCATCATCGGCTCCTACATTGGCCTCTTCCTCAACTGCCTCGTCCTCGTCGCCCAATTCTACGTCTCGGTCGCGCCCTTTGATATGGACAGGCTCACTACCGCTGGCCGTCTCCAACGCTTCTTTAGCGTCTACCTCGCCCTCCCCGTCACCATTGCTTTTTACATTCCCTACAAAATCTGGTTTCGCACCTCCATGGTGCGCTCGCATAACATGGATCTCGTCACTGGCATTCGCGAACTCAACATCCAGGCCCTCATTGAAGAAGAGCGCGAGGAAAGACGCAAGTGGCCAAAGTGGAAGAAGGTCTATAAATTCTTTTGCTGAACCCCAGCACTGTTTTTCTTCCTTTTTTTTATTTTTTATTTTGATTCTATTATGCCAAGATCTATAAGATTCCCCCTTCTTCATTTTTTTCCGCTTTCTTCTGCATCATGGCGGCGGCATCTTGCATGTATTTCCTTTTTTTTTAACGCTAGCGCCGCTATTTTTCTCCTGCGATCTTCTTCGACAGGTAGTATTCTTCGATTAGTGCGGTTTGTCATGATACCAGGCGGCGTACTGAGAGGTACTGCGCAGCCTTGCACTACGGCCCATGGTCGCGTGCTCTGTTTTTATACGTGTTCATGTTGGAATCGGAGGGCTGGTATGCAAGATGAAGAGAGAGAGAAGGAGGGACGGAGGACTAATCAATACCAAGCATGCTTATGTGTATGTGTTGTACGTGTACACCAACCATGCCGACAAATATATAAAGCTATTCACGACTTCACAATACAATTCCTGTGCATATTGACTCACACAACGCAGTCAAAAATATCAACTTACCACGTACAACAAAACACAGCCTACTCATTCACAACCGCCTGCACAATCGCGCCCTTGTCCCCTTCATCCAACTCATCCAACATCTCCATATCCCGCTCGTCCAGCGCAAACCCAAACACATCTGCATTCTTCGCGATCCGGCTCGGCGAATCGCTCTTGGGCAAGGGGATAAAACCCTTTTGCAGACTCCAGCGGATGAGCACCTGGTTGGGCTCGACCCTGTGTTTCTCAGCGATGCTGACGAGGGTTTTGTCCGTGGCTTTTTGGTTGCGGACGATGGGGCAGTAGGCTTCGATTGCGATGTTGTTTTCTTGGCAGTATTTTACGACGGCGCGTTGTTGGCACCAGGGGTGGAGCTGGGTGCGGTTGCGTTAGCTGGATGGTTGGTTGGGGTGGGGATAGAGAGAGAGAGCGTGTGTATGTGCGTGCAGAAGAGTGCTGTCCAGGGGGTCTTTCAAGTACCTCGATCTGGTTGACGGCTGGAACTTTGTCCGATGTAGCAATCGATGCGATTTCCTTGATCTGTCCGATTCCATAGTTACTAACACCAATATCCCTCGTCCTGCCCTCTTGCTTCAACTTCTCAAGCGCATTCCACATCAACTTGCGCTTCTCCGCGCCGAAATTCGGGCTGTGAATCAGGAACAAATCCACGTATCCATGCCTGCCAGCCAGCTTCTCCACGCTTTCCACGAGCTTCTCGTACGTCGAGGCTGCGTCATCGCCCGCGAAGAGAATCTTAGTCGTGATGTAGACTTGCTCACGGGGAACATTGGATTCTTGGAGTGCGCGTCCGACTTCGGCTTCGTTTTCGTAGTACTGGGCTGTGTCGATGTGGCGGTAGCCGGCTTCGAGAGCGGTCTTGCACGACGCGACACATACGTCTGGGGGCGATTGGTAGACGCCGAAGCCGAGTTGGGGAATCTTGTGGTTGGAATTCACGAGCGAAAAGCTTGAGGATATGCTGAGGTTCTTGGTAGACATGTTGGGTGGCGGGGTAATCGGCGAAGAGGGGTAGGTGAAGCTCGTGATGTGTATGCAAGATGGCACGGGCAGCATGGAGGAGATGGCACAGAAATGCATACCAGACAAAGAGGGAATTTCGACAGGCTACCCAAGTCAGTATTTTCCAAGTCTTTTTTTTTGTATGCGGCTACAGAGCATGCATATCCAATATTGCAGATTCGCATGGAGGAGTTAGTCGTGATGTCACTATACAAGAGCAATATCGCGCGCGGGTTCTTCTGTGACATCCA